CGACGACGACCAGGATGGACGACGACCGGGATGGACGACTACCAGGATGGCTTCCAGGATGGACGACTGCGAGGATGGACGACTTCGAAAACCGACGACTACAACAACCGGGATGGACGACGACGAAAACTGAAGACCGAAGACCGAAAACGACGGGGGCGAAGAGGCAGTCAACACTGGCGGTTGACTCGCCGAAGAGGCAGTCGACACTGGCGGTCGATCTGCTGAAAAGGTGGGGAACACCAGCCACAAATGGTGCGCAGCTAGTGCTTGGAGAGTCTCGATCGGTCTTTCCTCCTTGCACATTTGCTGGGTAATCAAAAGACCAGGTCCCTCAAGATATTACTGTCCCTCCTCGGACGTGGGGGGACCGAAGAGGACGGTCGACAAGGACGGTCGACTGTCTGAAGACGGCGAAGCGGATGGGTAAGTAGAGGGACAGGGAAGGCCATGGGTTGCTGCCTTCTCTTTTCTTTCTTTCTTTTCTTATTTCTTTTTTGTATTTTTAAAAACCAATAAAACACATTTCAAACTTGTACTTCAATCATGTCTTTATTCATTCTCAATCATCAAACAATACAAAGGTTTACAAATAGAAACAAAGTCTTCGGCTGTCCAAACCAAAGACTGCTGCTGATGATGATGGTCCGGCGGTAATGCCATCCTCGACTTGCTGCTGCTGCTGCTAGCGTCCATCCTCTAGCGGCCATCCATCCATCCTCAAAGTCTTCATCGGGCTGTTGTTGCTGCTGGCCGCCACCACCACCAGACCATCCTCTTCAGTCGTCCTCGAGTAAAGTTGACTGCAGATGATGATGGCGAGGAGAACGATGATGGGAAGAGAGCGAGAGAGGATGAAGAAGGCCAGACCAGACAAAGCCTTGGAGTTGATAACACCTGCAAAAAGAGAAAGCAAACATTACACAAAGTATCGAGATCTGAAACACAACAAACATCCAAAGAACTTATCTGAAGGGAAGAGTCCTGGCTGATGGGGAGCCGGTGGGAGAGAGAAGAGGACGAGGATGATGGTGATGATGATGATGAGGGTGATCCAAGAGAAGAGGATGGCTGGCTGGTCCTGGCGGCTGGGGCAGTCTTGAGCGGCGGGCGCAGGCCATGCCTCCGGCAAAGAGCGGTAGCAGACTGGCACGTCTGCTCCCCTCGGCGTCCACCAGGCAACTGAAGAGCAGTCACCACCAGAGCAGGTCAGAGCAGCAGCAGCAGCGGCGGCACTGTACAGCAGCAACGTGACAATCTGCTGCTGCTGATATCACCACCACCGTCACCACCAGTCAGCAGCAGCGGCTTCGTGCTCATCGGTCATGGGCTTTTTCCTGCTTGGCAGCGGTCGAGCAACAGCAGCAGGAGCAGCGGCGGCGGCCACCATCACTGTTATTGAATGAGCAGGATGTGTGTGCAGGGTTGATTCTAGTGAGAAAGCTGAAGTGCAAAGAATGGGGAAGAGGTGTACCAGAGTAAGCGGATCGGCCACCAGCTAGGCGGCAATGTCCTCCACTCTTCTCTGTGCTAGTAGAGCTGCTGCTATTGGTGGTGGTGATGGTGAGATGGTCGACTGACTTGGCACTGTGCACTGGAGATCAACAAGCTTCCAAAGGCCTCTGCTTTGTCGGCACCAAGTGAAAGGGGATAGTGAGGACCATCAAAAGGAACAAGATGGGAAGAAGATGGGAAAGTACATCGGCGGCAGCAGCACCCAAAACACAGGATTGACACTTCTCTCTTTCTCTCTCTCTCCCTCGAGAAAGAGGATCTGCTGTGTCTGTTATTGTTTATAAATAGCCGGCCAAGATAGTGAAACAAAACTCGGGGAGGAACAAGAGAGAAAGACAAGAGGCACTTGAGACTTTCTGGACACCGACACCACTCTCTCTACTTCAAAAAGCTGATTATCACCATCATCATCAACATCATCATTCCGCGTTACTCTACACAGCTATTATTGACACTTGAGAACGAGTGCTTCCCAGTTGGTGGTGGTGGCGGTGGTGACGATGGTAGTGAAGATGATGATGGTGATAGTGGCACCAGAGTGCTCCAACTCTGCCTAGGCTGGCTGGATGTGATATTGCGCCCCTCAGCAATGACATTGATGGCTACTGGCTAGTGGCGGCGGCGGAGGCAAACGGCAAACGGCAGAAGGACTGCCAAACGTTTGTGTGATTCTCATCATTATCATCATCGTCATCATCATCATCATCAATTGATTGATCAGAGTGAACGATCTGTTGCTTGCCTGTTCACTTGCTCTCTCTCTCTCGATTGATCTCGAGAGGATGCTATGTTTAGCTACTGCAATCTCTCGAGATGACGAGTTTCAAAGAAAGAAAGAAAGAAAGTGCAGCAGCAACAGCGCCAAGTTTGCCCGAAAGCAGAAAGTGCACAAACACAGCTGCCTTCTGTGTGTGTGTCTAATTGTTACACAATTAAATGGTCTGAAAGCATCAGCATCAACGGCATCAACAGCACCAGCAGCAGTTTTAATTATTTGAAAGATGTGAGAGAAGAAGAACTGCAGTCGGTCAGTCAATCAGTCAATGAACGAAAGATGGTTGGGCAATCAGAGGAGGAGGAGGAGGAGGATGATGTTGATGTTGATGTTGATGATGCCACCACGACCAATTCAGAAAAAGAGGGACTTTAATTGATGCCTGTGCAAACTGTGTTCTAAAACTGACCGTACAGTACTTTCACACACAAGCACAAACTTACGTTGAATGAATAAATCAAACCTGCACAAACACACACACCAAAAACCGAGTGCACAAATACTACAAATACAAACAAAACGGCTGCTGCTGTCGAATTGATCCACGATAAATATAGCATGTCTATGCAAATGAAGTGCTCGCGTCTGTGCAGGACTGAACGCCGAGCAGTTTGGCATCAATTTGACTATTCTAGTAGTATTGAGCGATGTTTGACTGACTGNAACTTACGTTGAATGAATAAATCAAACCTGCACAAACACACACACCAAAAACCGAGTGCACAAATACTACAAATACAAACAAAACGGCTGCTGCTGTCGAATTGATCCACGATAAATATAGCATGTCTATGCAAATGAAGTGCTCGCGTCTGTGCAGGACTGAACGCCGAGCAGTTTGGCATCAATTTGACTATTCTAGTAGTATTGAGCGATGTTTGACTGACTGTCCGACTGCTTTGATTGAATCAGAAATGATCGAGACAGCTTGGAAAAAGACTGAGAGGACAGAGAGGACATCGACAGGACATTGAAGCAGAGGTTTGGAATGCAATTGATGCGATCAAGGAGAGAGAGAGAGAGAGTGAGGGAAAACTCGAGAAGGTGAGAAGGTGATCAGACATACACACACAGTCTGCCTGCATCAAGAGCAAATAACATCAGACCGCAGCAAATAAGACAACAGCAGCAGCAGCAGCAACAGAAGTCAGTTAGCAAGGGAGACAATTGGAAAAGTGCCCTTGTCTGCCTCTGCCTGCCTGCACCAAACAACAAGATGCAGGCGACAAGTGTCCTGAGCTTGTGTTTGTGTGCACAAGTGTTCAGTGGCTGCTGGTGCTGCTGCTGCTTCCTAGCAAATTTGCATCCTTCTTCATCTCTATCCGCAGCCACCACCGTTTTCCTTCCTCTGTACGTTAGTGGCAAAACGTCGTTGGCCTATTCAACTTTCCATAGTCAAAGCCAAGTGGTCTCAATTACAGGCAAATTATAACGTAATAACTGCTGCTGCCGCTGATGCCGCTGTTGCTGGAGCCATTAGTCGTCGGTAATGACGGCAGCAAGAGCAACACTGAACAGAACAGAAAAAAAGATAGGCTAGAGCGGCTGACACCGAAGCACAACTAACTGTGGCTAATGGCATCGCTGCAAGGTAGAGTGAGTGAGTGAGTGAGTGAGTGAGATAGACAGAGCAGGCTCTCGCTCAAACTCGATTAACTTCAGCACATAACTGAAAAGAAAAACGACGTCGGCGGCGTCGGCGATCAACTGGACAACACAACACAACACAACACAACACAACTGCAAAGTCCACGGTAACGGTAACAACAGCAGCAGCAGCAGAAGAGCCTCCGACAAAGGAAAGAAGAGAGAGAGAGAAAGACAAGAGCTTCGCAGGTCAAACACACACACACAGGACACAGGCATTACAGTGACAGTGAATGTGTGTAATAGAGGCGCAGAGTGGACAATGAAGGAATGAATGAATGAAAAAAGTGGTACATCGAACAAGTGGACAACAGCGGGAGGAGGAGGAGAAGGAAAAGAGGAGCAAAAGGCCAAAACCATCGCCGGCATTTCAGGCGCCACAAGATAAGGGATGGAAGCTAGCTAGCTTTCTTTCTTTCCTTTTATTATTATTTTACAATAATGTATCATCATCATCATCGCCATCACATTCCTCCGCTCTTCATCAGGCTGACGTCGTCGTCGTCATCATAATCTTTATCTTAGGAGCTACTACAACAACAACAAAAACTGCGTTTCGGCGATGTGTGATGGTGGTGGTGGTGGTGGTGATCAATCGGCGCGTCTATGACACGAGAAAATGAAGATGATGTTGGAGTAGGAGAAGACGGAGAAGAGGACGGAGAAATGATGGGAAAATGTGCTGAGTTCGCGCCCTCGTGACTGACTGACTGGCTGACTTTGATTAGCGAGTTGGCCAACTCTTTCTGCTTTCGTTCTGCTATCTTCATCATCATCGGCAGCATCATCATCGGACCACATCATTGCCAACAGATTCGGCATTGAAGGATGAGGAGAAGGTGGAGAAGGAGTAGTTATCACAATGGAGCGGGAGAAAAGTATATCACGAGCTTCTTCTTCTGTCTGAGAAGAGGAGGCAGTCAGCTCACACAATCATCTCAGAGGAGGAGGACTTTGCTGACTGGGGTCGATTGAAGGAAGAGGACTGTTGGACTTTGTAAGGCAGTACAAGACCAGTACTGCTTTCTTTACGTAATCAAATCTTCATGTCATACGGTCTGTATTACCCATTGGTACTGTAGACAATTTCATCCGACTTGAAGCTCTCACTGTCAATCGCCGAGTCATTCTCGTCGTCGTCCTCAAAGTCGTCCTTCAGAGAGCACCCGCTTTCCTCCCCTTCCTCCTCCTCCTCCTCCTCGCCATCCAAGCTGATGCTGGACATCTCCGCAAAATCTAGGTCCTCTTCTTCGTCTTCCTCGACGACCTCCTTCAACCTCCTGAGAAGATCGGCCTCCTCCTCCTCCTCCCGTTCCGCATCCTCGACGATGGCCATCAGCTTGGGGGCGCTGCGGGAGCGCTCCAGCGGGGGCCGGAAGTTGGCCAGCCCCTTGACTAGCAGCTGCTTGCGGATGGGAATCTCCGTCAGCGAGAGGCGGGCCTTCTGGCGGAGGACCTTCTCGCGGAGGAACTCCTGCAGGGCGGTGGCGAGGCGCTCGCCGAGGACGCGCGCCATCCGCCGGGCGACCTCCTCCTTGGCGCAGAGCACGGCGTGGCAGCGGAGCTCCGGCTTGCCCTTCCGGCCTACGTGCCGGTACACCCAGGCGAGCAGCTTCGGGTGGGCGGGCTTCCAGACGGTGTAGGTGATGCGGTTGGCCCAGTACTCTGTGAGGCCGAACTGCTTCGTCTCCGCTTTTAGACCGCTGTTTTGGACGCTGAGGCGCATGACAATGTCCGAGGTGCCGACGGCCCCCCGTTTCGCCAGGTAATTGCTCCACAGCGTGTCCATGGCTCGGTTCACCGACTGGTCCCCTTTCGCCCAGGGCGTGAGCACATTGCCCAGGTAGATCACCTTGTGCGTCTGCTCCACCTCGGTGATGGTGAGGGAGCTGCTGTGCTTCTTCCAGAATTTGAGGCGGTTGAAGCTGAGGTAGAAGGTGGGGCCGCCGGTGCTGCTGCTCGAATGCAGCTGAAGACGGTCGTCTTCTTGGTGGGATGAAGGAGGTGGTTGGTGGTAACTGTGAAGGTCGTTTGTACGGCTCATTTTGGTGGTGGAAGATGATGAGGAAGATGAGGAGGAGGATGAAGTTTTAGTGGAGGATGAGAGTGGAGATCGAAAATGTGATGATGAAGAGGATGAGGATGAGGATGAGTGACTGATCTGGGTGACGAGGGGTGACATGATTTGCCGCTGGTGGTGGTGGTGGTAGGAACTGAAGAGTTGTGTGCTCCCAAAGCAAAGATCAAGGTTTACTGCCCAACTGTGCAGGGGTAATTAAACGAGAGGTGACCCGCCGGGTAATAAGAAGAAGAAGAAGAAGAGGACAAGTTTTCACTGCTGTGTTGGTGACACAGATCAGCTGCTAAGGCTGCTGCAGTGGCTACAGAGCACCCAACAGGTAGTGTGGTGGTGGCGGTGAGGAACAACAAGCGCTAAATAAAGGCGACCACCAAAGTGAGAAGAGCCTAAATAGTCAGAGAGCTGGCGGGAGAGTGTCTGTCTGTCTGTTGGTAACAGGTTGGTTGGCTGGCTGGCTGATGCTGCGCTTCACTGGCGACAAACGGCGACAACGGTGGCTGATCCCTGCTTCAGGCGTCTGCAGACGCCTCGTCTCTCTCTCTCTCTCTCTCTCTCCACAACAACAAAAAAAGTGGAAGAGAAAAAAGAGGTGCAAAGCGGGGCGAAAATCCACCACTGCAGCAGCAGCAGCAGAAGTCGATGATAATCAGCCGAGATGGTATGGAATGATTGGAAATGGAGGTAGTGTGCACTACTACTACTGCGCACTGATCACCCTCTAAAGGAGCAACATCAGCGACATCAACGACAGCAGCAGCAGCACACTTCAATCAGTGAAGTGCACTTCGGGATGTGTGACACACGGCAGCAATAATACCAACTGGTCAATTGCAACAGGTGATATTATCGGTGATATTGTGGTGTTATATGTGTTATCAGCTGCTGCTGCTGCAACTGCAGCAGGTATTAGCTATTTGGCAATAACAGCAACAGCAGCAGCAACAGCACATGGCACACGACAGCAGCAGTTGGGTAAACAGCAGCAGCAGTGGTGTTAATTAAAACAAAGGCAGTGTACGACTAATGCCACAACTGATCACAAGAGAACACAAGCACAAGCACACAGGAAGAATGGGATGCTTTGGTTGACAGGGGTTGGTTGCTGCGACAGAGGCAGTGAGAAACGGCAGTGAAGAGCAGTGTCGAGGTGATGGCGATGGAGGTGATAGCTAAATACTTCCAGCAGTAGTGCTCAAAGAGTGAAGACGACAGTACGACCATCAACAACTAAAACCTCACTCTCTGACTCCTCTCTCTCTCTCTGACACGTCCGTTCGAGTGGCGGACCAGTTGGCGACTGTTGTTCCTTTCAGTGCCAGTGCCTGCTGCTCCTCACTGATTCAATCCAGTCAGTAGCGGTGAATCTCCGCAATTGCTGGCTGGCACTCCACAGCATACCACAGCAGTACAGGCCAGGCCAGGACAGTACAACAACTGCTCGAGCTCGAATCAAGTTATCCTGACTGTCTGTCTGCCGCCTGCCAGTGGTCTATTCAGAGCTGCAGAGTAGTTTGCCTCACTCTCATGGACACTCTGCTCTCGTGGCGCCAACAACAACAGCAGCAGATTTTTCTCTCCTCTCTTTCTACTTGTTGGCTTCAGCAGAAAAGCAAAGGCTGCTGCTGGCGCCCGTTATCAGCGACCGATTGAGAAGAACAAACAAGGGAGGGAAAGAGAGAGAAAATGAACGAAAGTCTGCTGCTGCTGAAACTGACTCAGCTGTGAGTCAACTTCAGCTCCAGCACAAGTTTCACCTTCGCTGACAGACGCCAACAACAGCAGCAGCAGCCGTGCACACGATTTGCCGCTGATGTCCATGTCACTCGCTGACTGACTGTGTTTGCCTCCAAAAGCTCGAAAATACCATAGAAGCAAGCAAACACACTGCCGAGGCACGACACGACACGGCGAGGAGGTGATGAGAACAGCAGCGAACAGGTTCGTTGCAGAAAATAAAAAAGGGGAGAGAGAGACAAACAAAAAGAGCAAAGCAAATTAGAGACAACACACACACAGAAGACATGAGAAACAGATGAGGAGGATGGAGAAGAAGAAGGCAACAGAATTCAGCCTGTACAACCTTTTCTGTACGAAAGAAGGAGGATCAGAAACAGTCAGAAACAGACAAACAGTCTGAAAAGCTAAATCTAAAGCTAAACCGATCATTAAGTCAAGCAAACGCAGACACATTGTCTTTGCAAGTTGCAAATTTAGTGGACTGCAGTTTGAAAGAGCAGCACCCGCAGCACTGCTCAGTGTTCAGTGCCTCCGATCATCTTCAGTACTTGCACTCAACACTGCTACTTTTGCTTGCAGTTGGTGACAGCCAGATCGCAGTTTTGCAACCGCCTAAGCTTCACCAGTTTTAAACAGATATAGATGATGATAAGTAGAGAACTTCAAGTCAAAAGAAGGGAAAGAAGAAAGGAAAAGAGCGAGCACATTATGCAGTCAGTCAGTCACTCAAAGTTAACTTACTGACTTGGTGCTCTGCTTTTAGAGCTGTACAGTACGAGAGAGCTAAATGGACGGACTAAATATAGCCTTACTGTGAGGGAGACTCAACACACCTGTGTCTGATCTGCTGCAGTAGATAACTTCTGCTGCTAAAGATGATATGGAATCACCCATTATCATCTTTCTTTTCTTCTTCAAACAGCATAAACCACCAAGACAAGACAAGTAGGTACTGCTGACTGACTGCCTGACAAGGTCACACCGTTTTGAACTGAAAAGAAAAGAGGTGAAGAAAAGAAGGAAAAAGAAAAGTAAATCAAGGAGGAGCAGATTTAGGAGATTATGCGGCGAAGTTAGTTTGAACACTCTGCGCACTGGTTTGAAGACTGCTCTGCGAAGAAGAGGGAGACCTAAAGTGCAACTTTAGGTTGGAAAAAATACCTCGAAATGTTCGAAAAAGTAGAAAGAAGCCTTCTGAGCAGGAGCACACGACCCAACCTCGACCACCACCACCTCGACGACCCAAGTTCGTCTCAAAGGACAACTTTGTGCTCTTTGATCAGTTGATGGCAAGGCGGCAGAAACGGCGGCAGCAGCAGCCTAAAAGTGCCCGCCACCAACAGAAAAGAAGAAGGGTGAATAACTAATGGACGATGAAGGAAAAAACTGAAATGAAAAAGGAAGGAAGGAAGCAACTGCTACTGCAATTGCTACTGATCAAGCACACACTCAGTTTTCTTTATCTGCAAATTCCAATCTCAGCAGCCCAACTTCAAACTCACTCTTTTTTTCGCGTTCTCAAGTACACATGCACAAGTGCACACTACCAACTGATAGAGACATTATTAATAAAGTGTGTGTGTGTATAAATTGTGAACAAAAAAAATTGAAAGAAGGAGAAAGTTGATGGTCACCGAGCACAACCACTGCCACCACCACCACTACTAAAAACTGTCAGTGTCAGCTAGCACGGCAGTGCACAGAGGACAACAGACCTTCTTTCTCTCTCTCCCTTCTTGGCTTAAGCTTTAGACACTTCAGAGAGAGAGAGAGAGATTAAAAAGCGGTCGCCACAACGACAACTTTTTACTGCTTCTGAAAGCTGTGCCTTTGAAGCCGCCATTGCCTGGAGACAGATAAGAGCTATTGAGCCGTTTTTTGTTTCAGTCTCACTAATTTCATTCAATGTGCGACCAGAATGGGAAGAGTGGGAAAACCAAGAAGTCGAAGCCGCCAACGCCGCCAACGCTCCAAAGAGAAAGAAAAAGGCGAGGAATGCAAACGAAGAGACACTCAGCAAACTGACAAAACAAAAACAACCACTAAACAGCAACAAGTGATCAATAAACAGGAGAGAGAGAAGGAAATTAAAGACAAGAGCAGCGAGCAGTAATTAGACGACGGCAGTGACAGGAAATGAGCTGAAGCTCGGTCGGCTCATGATCGAGCAAACAGAGCTGCAAAGAGAGCAGCAGCAGCACAGCTCACTTCCTCTGCTACAGTGTATAGAGCACTGATATCACCACCGACACCACCGACCATTTACCATGATCACCTCGTGACCACCACCACCACCACCACCACCAGCCAGAGCAATAGCACTATCTATTTCGCTCAACTCAACAGCGTCAACAAACTCCTTCGCCTGCGCCTTCGATGACTTCAACACTTCACACGACCAAACGGTGGTCGACACCTAAACGATGGTGGTGGTGGTGGTGGTGTGATCTCATTGCTGAGAAAACTTTCCCTGTTTTGTGTATAGACAAACCGCAGTGTCGAGCTTCTGCTCCTTTGTCACATTACACCACCACTTCGACCGCCGCCGCTTTTGACGCTAATTTAATTACGCAAACGAAGTACAAAAGAAGTACATAGGTACGACGGAGGTGATACAGACAACAAAAGTCAGTGAGAGAGAGAAGAAATTCCCTGGCAAAGGCAAATTCTCTCCATTTCTATTTTCTCGCTAAAAGCTGCAGCAGTGACAGCAGAGCACGATTGCTACTATTTTTGGGAAAGTACT